TCATTATTCGTATCCGTAACCGAGTCAATCCGTATTTGTATATGTATCCGAACGCTATCCGTGTCCGAATCCGAATCCGAACAGAAATATGAAAACAAATATAATATGAGTGATATCCGTTCGTATCCGATCCGTTTTCATCCCTACTCACAACTAAGGACTTATTTGAAATAAAGGATTTTCACAAAAATTGTGTGATTTTTTTAAAAACCATTTTATTTTTATAGAAAATAGGAAAAAAAATTCCGCATTCCAAAGGAGACTTTGCTTCTGGTAAGTGGGTCCCTGGCCTCTCATACTCTCATCATGTGGGTTGTGAGCTAGGTTAGCATTAAGCCCAATCTGCCGAGGACTTTTTGACTAGACGGCCTGATTGACCCACTTGTAGAAAGAAGTCCACGTTCCGGCCTTGCAGCTTGTTATACTGGCCCACTCATTCGCTCGCATACTGGAACTTGATTCATATCTTACCAGAGCAGGCCCAACTCCGGCTATGGATTTCCGCGAGAATGTTCTGAAAACTTGGTTTGTGGGAGGTTTCAATGGGCTGCTTTGGGTTCATAATCCCACCGAGTTTATATTGTCAAAATTAATGGTACCTTCAGAATGATCAGTTCCCCTCTTAACAACCATACTGACGGATAGATGGGATTATAAAAATTTGTATCTAGTTAAACTTTTTGATTATTTTAAATTTTTATTTACTTTACAAAAGAATTATTGTTCAAAAAGCATAAATAAAAACTATATAATTAATTAATTAATTAATTAATTTTGTAAATATAAATAGATAAATCTTTGTAGATTACTTTGACAGGGGCCGCGCGAACGCGTACAGTGAGGGAGATGGTAAGCTAGTGCTCCTCTAAAGTGCAATAGAGGCCACCAGCCTAGGCCATGACTCTTCATGATCAGCCATAGACCCCGTCCAGGTAAGTATGTTTCAAGGTTGCCGCTCCATCTACCTTTATTGCTTCCCCTCTAAGTTCCTCAGGCTTGATTAGCCGATGTGGCACTATTCAACTGCTAATCAGGTGATTTGCACCTGGCGCAGTGGATGGGCTTGGTTGCGGTTAGGAATCCAATACAGGCTTGCCCCGGCCCACCTAAGCCAGCCGGCAACGCGCGGCCTTTCCAAGGTTCGGAGACGCTCAACCCTTTTCCTTCTTTTTTTATTCTTTTTATTATATTATATAAAAAAATAAAATCCTCGCTTTATTATCTTCCTCCTCCACAGATCAACCTCTGCCGATTGGTATTACAGTTACAGGTGCTTCCCTCCTGCGAAACAACGTACGCAACGTGAAAAGCCTACGGGAGGCTGGGGATGTCTGAATCAACTCACCTCCCCTTTTGCAACGTGAAAAGCTCTATCGGACTCGGACATCACTGATCGCACTTACTGTGCGTATTACTTATTACTGAGGTGGAAAAAAATGGAGTGCTGGTTTCGAGCTCCATCCACACTATTATCAGGATGCAATGTCATTCACATCAGTGGCGGGGCATGCAGCTCTCCGTCGCCAGTCGACACTCGACAGGGAAAAGGCAGCCATCCTCACCTAAAAAGAGGGCGCAGGCACGGCTTGCCTGCACGCGGCCATCCACCGATCTCATCTCATCTGGGGACCGGAACGAACGAGTCAAGCTGGGGCGGCTGGCTGGCTGACAGGGTGTGGTGTTGACCTACACACATGTAATCGACTCGATCGCACGAGCGAGCAAATGGGGGCGGCAAATTGATCGGATCCATGCTCCATGTGGTGGCGTTGCCAGTTGCCACGGCGCGCGAGTCCTCCTCGACGTCGTCCAGGCCTCTGCACTGCATCTGCATACAAGTGGCATGCACCAGGCGTAAGCGCTCATGACTCATGAGCATGGATGCCGGCCGGCTCAATCCAGATCGAAAATAATTGCACTGCATCGGCCGACTACTCCGGCCGCCGCCGCTGCGACTCTCCAGCGAGCGGCGGCGGCGGCGGCCCGCGGAGCTAAAAAACCTGCTTCCACAGTCTCGCCCTCCTTCCTCCCCCTCCCCCTACCCCTCCTCTTCTCCTGCTACTCTGGCGGATGGCGTGGCCGGCGGGGTGGATCTGGGCCCTCCGTGGCCAGATCTTGCGCCTCCTCCTCCGGATCTGAAGTTGCTACCGCGGCGGGGGCCTAGAGGCGACCCGCATGGCTAGCGGCGCGCCCTAGGTCCGTTCATCTGCGGGGCGGCTCCGGCAGCGTGGATGGATGGCACGGCCGAATCCGGCACCTGAGGCAGTGTGGCTGGCATGCACCCAGGCCCGGCCTCATCTCCCCGGCCCCGCGCGGTCCCTCTTCACGCGCGTGCGGGCAATGGACGTCATGCTCCCGGTGTCCGGGACGCCGCAGCCACAGCCGCGCCCAGGTCTATGCAGGTGTCGGGCGTATCCCCTTCCGTCTGCGATCGAACAGCTTCTGGGTGAAAATCCTGCCCGGCTTCTTGCTTTGGGCCGGCGGCGATGGCGTGGTCTGCGTCATCTACCTTCTTGAACGCGTCGCCGAAGTCTCTGTTCCTTGTGTCGCTCGATGGGGCAGGTTTTGGACGAAAGTCCAAGTGCGCTTCTCCCAACATAGTTGGCATCTGCGGATGTCTTTCCCTTCTTTCCAGTCGGAGTGCATCCTTGCTTTGCAGTGTCCGATTGTGCTTCATGCTACTCTTCGCTTTGGTTTGTCTAGTAGTTGGTTGGTGTTGCTGCAGTCGATTGTTTCTCTGTAGCAGATGCTTTGCCGCTATCTCCTCTTGGACGGATGCTTCGCCGTCATGTTGCTTGGGCGGTTGCCTAACCGCCGGTGTCGCCCCCGTCTCCGCTCTCAGGCAAATGCTTGGCTGATGTGAGCGTGATGGTCCCTCATCCGCGGATGCTTTGCGTGTTAATGGACGTTGTTTCTGGCGGATGCTTTGACGCATTGGTCTCTTCTCTAGCGGATGCTTTGCCGCTGTTGTCATATTGGCGCCCTTGGTGGATGCTTTGCCGTCAAGGTTGATTGGTCCTTCCCTGGGAGGATCTCTGCCACCTCGGCTGTTGGAAGCTTGATCCGTCGACGCTGCGGTCTCACTACACTACTAGCTACCAATGCGTTGTATTCTTGTATTAGACTCAGTCGTTTGGGATTTTGTGGTGGAGCTCCCCCATCGTGTTTTTCTTGTTGACCGTGTGTGCTTGTGAGATTTCGTTGGTAATCCAGGGATTACTTGTAAATCCTTTGTATCGCCTTTGTAACATTTGATTACCTCCTCTTAATAAAAAACGGGCTGAACACCCGATCGAGAAAAAAAGATAAAAATCACACTCATCATCTGCTGGTGCGACAAATGAGAAGTTCGTTCATTCGTCAGGTGTTGCTGCTAGCTCCTCTGCTGTCTGCGGCTTTGTTCGACTGGTCTATAAGCCGCTTGTGCTGATTTATACGGTTGATTTGTTGGGAGAGAAAAATACTATACCATAGCTGATAAACCGGGTATAATGGCAGTCGAAAAGAGCCTGCACCACGTATACTGTATACATACCCATCGTCGCAACGGCGTGGTGACTGTAAACATCAGCGAGGCTGGAAGGCACGCATTAAAGGACAAAGGCGATGGATGGATGGGTGAGCTCCGGCCGGCCATGCAATCGGCGAGGAAAAGCCCGGGAGCGATAGATCGGGCGCACCGCGCACGGCGTGGTGTCACAGGTTCCCAGTGACACGAACTGTTTCTCATCTTTCAGAGGCCCCGCTGCCTTTTCTTTTTCTTCTCTCCCAGCGCTTGCTTTTTTTTTCATCTATAAAGCGGAGACGCTATCCATCGCCCGACGCTCTTATCGTGATGCATCCGCGCGCGTAGCACCGCGGTGGCGCTGCGTTCTTGGTCTGCAAATCCTCTTGTTTATTTACGAGCTGATTGCCTCAAAGCGTTTTTCTTTTTCTTGATCCAATCCAAGAGAGTGGAGGGGACGGTTTGGGTCAGTGTTCCTGTCAGGCCCAAGCTTTTCTCCTGGCCCTAGGCATGTTTTGGAGCTGCAATCGATTGCTTTTACTTTACATCGCCTGCAGCAGCTGTACAGGAGTGGAATCACCTGACCTTCCGTCAAAGGATTTTCCAAAGGATAAAGAGACCGGCTCCCATGGTTTTTATTCAAGGCATGCCTTTATTCAAAGAGACGGAGACCCGTGTCTGTGATAAGGCCTTTGGCGTTGCATTTCACAGCGCCTGAAACTGAAAGGCCCGTTTCATCAATCAACCAAGAAGAGAGAGAGAGAGAGAATAACACTACTATTTCATTTCATATAAGTGGGGAAAGAAAGGGGAGGATCAGCGAGGTCAAAGGCTCCTCCCGCGCTTTACCTGCTTTTTCTATCCACTTTTGCGCTTTTCTACTCGCTTCACAAGCCTGTCTCGTACGCAAATACCTGCAAACCCAGGGCGGTTTCTGCCAAACGCTTATATAAATTCGGTACAGGCCCCCCCTAATGCATACTCTGCGGAGGGTACGAGCGCCGCCTCTCCCACCGCTCCATCAAGAACAACAGCCCGTTCCTTCCCAGTTCCCACCTCCAGCCTCGCGAATCGCGCGATCCGACCACCGGTCGTCCGGTCCTCAAGACGTCTCCGGTGGGTTTGGTATGCCCGGAGAATCCGGCGGTGCTTCCTGCTACCAGCAGGGGCGGCGCCTCTTGGGGCTTCTTGGTGGTGATTGCCCTCCCGTTTCTCCCGTGCAAATTGCGCTTGTTTAGGTGCGCCAAGACTCACAGGACAAGAGGAGGCAATTTTGTTGCGTCTACCGTACGGTTTCTTCCGCATTGCTGTATCTAAGCAAACAAAAGTCAAATATTTTTGGGTGCTTTGCAGGTGGGAATTGGGTGATTCTTGGTGTGCAGTAGTAGGCAAGACAACCACATCCTCGCGCTCGAGCACGGCTCGGGCCATTTTGGAGGGAGTGGGGGGCGGCGAGAGGTCGAATCACGGGAGCAAGCCCCGAAGGAGATGAAGGATGTGGCCGTGGCTGGAGAGGATTGCATCCGCGTGCTGGGACCGGGTCCGGAGGTACACGCTTACGGGGAAGGGTGAGGACGACGGCGACGAGCTGCTGTGGTCGCGGGACCTCGCGCGGCACGCGGCGGGCGAGTTCTCCTTCGCCGTCGTGCAGGCCAACGACGTGCTGGAGGACCACAGCCAGGTGGAGACGGCCACCGCCGCCACCTTCGTCGGCGTCTACGACGGCCACGGGGGCGCCGAGGCGTCCCGCTTCATCTCTAACCACCTTTCTGCGCACATCGTCCGTACGTGCCCCCCTTCTCCCTATGAACCAACAAATTTTACTCTCTTGGGCTTCGTGAAATGCTGCTCGCTAGCTTTTAGAATGGTTGTTTGGTTCGATCGTACTGTATTAGCGTTGAATTGCTTGGGTCGGTTAGATTGATGCCTTTATTCCTCTTATTTTTTAAGAGCTGCATGTGCAATCTCATTGATAAACTGTATTCTTTTTTTAAGAATCTTGATTTTTTTTAGAAACCAAAAACAAAAAAAGAATCTTGATGTAGGTATCAAATGGTGGAACGACTATTTCGTCCGCGGGCCACGTCTTTAGTGACTTGCTTTGCCCATCTAATTGGGGGAATGAAATGAGCTCTTAGTATTCCTTTTTCCTTTTTGGGATACCATGACTGCGAACAGTATTGATTCGGTCGCAGTAGGAAGTGTTGTCGTTCATGTCTCCAGTTCCATGCTTGTGTCATCTCTGTGAATTTATTAGCGTCAATAATTGCTTATCGATGAGATCACCACGTCACACATAAACCCACTTACAATTGCTATTACGATTTAGGACAGTCCACTTGTTCTGTTTATAGTTGAAAGAAAAATGTTCTGATGCTAACATGTAGTATTAACTTTACAGGTCTTGCACAGGAACATGGAACAATGTCTGAGGATGTTGTTCGGAAGGCCTTTTCTGCTACAGAGGAAGGCTTCCTGTCGCTTGTGCGCAGGACACATTTGATAAAACCTGCTATGGCTACTATTGGATCCTGCTGTCTGGTTGGTATCATATGGAGAGGGACACTCTACCTGGCCAATCTTGGTGATTCTCGGGCGGTGGTTGGTTCTTTGAATGGATCAAACAGGATTGTTGCTGAGCAGTTAACAAGAGACCATAATGCTAGCATGGAAGAAATTAGGCAGGAGCTTAGGACTCTTCATCCTGATGATTCGCAAATCGTTGTTCTTAAAAATGGTGTTTGGCGCATCAAAGGCATCATACAGGTAGGCAGCATTTTTTTTTTTGTGACAAGTGCTGTATTTATGATGCTTGTGGGCATGCTTGATAAAATAGTGGAACCGAAGTAAATGGTAATGGTAACTCTGTTATTGTAGTGGCTGCAAAGAACTAATGTCACTCTTTTGGCAACAGAAAAGCAATAAATAAAATTGCTAAATATTACAACAAAAAAGCAATGGTAATCTTCAGAATTATAGCACTGTGTTCGATAGTACTCTAGTATGATGCCATCTAACACTCGATCACTATGCTGAAAACTTCTTCGAACATTTTCTTTCTTTCTGATCTACTTAGGTTTCAAGGTCTATAGGTGACGCATACTTGAAGAAGCGAGAATTCACTGCTGATCCATCCACAGCCCGTTTCCACCTCTCCGAACCTCTCCGCCGGCCTGTTCTGACGTCAGAGCCATCTGTATGTTCAAGAGTTCTTAGTTCACAAGACCGTTTTTTGATCTTTGCATCGGATGGATTATGGGAGCACCTCTCAAACCAGCAAGCTGTTGAAATTGTCCACAATAATCCACGAGAAGTATGACTCACTTCTTTCTCACTGCATTTGTCTTGAACTGGCAACTCTTTTCATATTGCTCTTGCTGATGGTAGTACTCCTTTTGTGGTGATGCTGAAATGCGCTTTCCTTGTTTTTGTAGGGTGTTGCAAGGAGATTGGTACAAGCAGCTCTAAAAGAAGCTGCAAGGAAGAGGGAAATGAGGTATGGTGATATTAAGAAGCTCGATAAAGGAGTCCGGCGCTACATCCACGACGACATAACAGTTGTTGTCGTCTTCATCGACCATGAACTGCAGTCGGAGGATTCTGCTTCAACCTCTGTTCCTGAACTCTCAGTTCGTGGGTTTGTTGATGCAGGGGGGCGCTCCAGCTTTTCAGGGTTGAATGACATTACTTGATACAGTAACCTTATGTTGTCTAAATACCTGTCGTTTTGATGTAACATTAGATCAAACTGTCCTTCTGTAGTTTTCTTATTCTGTTGCTGCATAGCACATAGCACTAACTCTGCTTCTATTAACATTTGGCCACATCGGAATCACAATTCGTTTGGGCAATGTCTGGCTACACTATTTCTCTTTTTCTCCTACTCTCTTGAAGAATAAGTTTCAGATCGGTAAAATATATATAGGATATTGCCAACTAATATTTTGGTAAGATGCTGATTAGCTGAAGCTGGGACTTGCAGATGAATTTATATGGGAGGTAAAACACGACTAGCATGTCTGTTTGTTTGCTCGCCCGTCCATTTGTCACTGGGATAAATCCTTATGTCTGTCTAGTCTTCAGACTTCCTCGTACCACCCATCAGCTGGTTGATGGTTACTGCACTTTTATTGTTGCAACGCCTTCTGGTTGCTTTGGTAAGCACTTGCTCATTTTCCTTCCTGTGTAAGTAGCCACATTTGCCACAAACCTAGGTAAGCAGCTCTAAATCCTTTGTTTAGCGAGCTGTTGTCTAAACCAATGGAACAATTCTTGGTCGGTCAGAAATTCACCATATTTTTATAAACTTAATACGAGCCACTGTAAATGGAATATTTTCACGTCAGTGTTCATGTTCTGCTGGTTTCTTACTTTATTGAGCATGAGCGCATGACGAGTATTTTCAGAACAATAGAACACTAAAGTAAGCAGTGAGCTGCACTTCAGTAGGTACGCCCACCTCTTGGTCTTCCCTTCCTGCTGTGTGAAACCGAGCATCCAAACCCTAACTTACTATTTGCAATCGGATTTGATCTATTCATGTATTATGCGGTTATGCCTACTAACTTTGAGTGCTTTGCAAAAATTATCGGGTGTACATATGTACACCCATGTCCTTTACTGGTTCCGCCCCTGAGTAATGCCATATCGCATTGAGATATAACCGCATCCGTTGATTGAAATTCACATTATTCCAATTTTCCTGTGCGGCCAACCCAAGGCGAATGGAGGAGGGCTCGCCAACCCGGAAAGCCTGGGCGGATGGATGTCGCCAATGAGGATCTGCCCCCGCCGCAGGAGTTCTTCGTCGGGTCGCCGGGTTTGCTTGGGGTCCTCGGCCACGGTCCTGGGGAGAGGCTCTCTCTCAGTGACTCGGAGGACTACTCCGATTCCGAGCTATCCGATCGGTCCGCCTCTCCGCCTCCGCCGCCTGCGGGAGAGAGGAAGGGGAAGGAGGTTGCTGGGCCAGGCTACAAGCACCAGCGAAAGCGCCGCCACCGTCACCGACGCCGACGGGAGGGGTTCATGGCTGCGACTAGGCGTGCCCACCCGTCCCCGCCACGCGCTCCGCCGACGCGCAGACCGCACAGCCGTTTGGCTTCGCCTCCGTCGCACCCGGCGCGGGCAATCGGCGACCCCGACGCGGATGGGTTCTTTCGGGTGCGCAGCCGCCGCTGCGAACGGCGCCATTCACCACCGAAGTCCCCACGGCCGGTCCCGCCGGAGCTGAATGGACTATGCTTCAACTGTCTGCGGCCCGGCCATGTGCGGGCGACCTGCCGGTACCGGTCGCGATGCTACAACTGCGGCGAAGAAGGTCACACCGCGGCGAACTGCCGCCGACCGACTCGTACATGGGTGTTACGCGCCCTGCGCGCTCCACCACCGCGTACTAAGCGGGGACGGTATCCGCCACGCTCCATCCCCAGGAAGACGGCGCGCCGCGGAGCATCAGGCCGACGCCACCGTGCCAACTCGGCGGACACCGCCTCGCCCTGCTCTGAGTCCACCGGGCGGTCCACGTCCGTCCCGCGTTGCTGCGCCCCTCCCGCGCCGCCGCCGAGGCGGTCTCCTCCACCTCCGCCGCCACCACCACGCCGGCCTCCTACACCTCCGCCGCCACCCCCACCCCCACCGCCGCCGCCACCGCCACCGTCACCGCCACCCCCGCAACACTTGGGGGAACCCAACGACAATGGCTCGCCTTTCGTTGGCTCGGCAGCCGCGGAGATGGTGGGGGCGGCGGCGCCGCCCAGGCGCCCGCGCATGCCGCTGGTCGTGGTACCGCGCAATGAGGCCATGGTGGGGGGTACCGTCAACACTGGTATGGTGTACACATCTCTGTTCAATCGCTTCGGCATCACTGCGGATGAGGTCGACGTCGGGCGCCACGCGCCAGAAGACTTCGTGGCGCGCTTCCGCCATCGGGCTCACCGCGATCGCGTTCTGGAATCGCGCCCTTCCGGCCAGGTGCCGCTCGTGTGGCGGCCTTGGCGCAGAACATCGTAGGCGAGTGGTGGATCGTTCCGCTTCCACGTGGTCGTGGCCATTGCCAGGGTACCGCTGCACGCAAGGAACACCACCGTGGCACAGGTCATTCTTGGACCATGCTGCACCAGCGTGGAGCTCTCACGGATACGTGACACGCCGGCAGATGACGACCGCGAGTTCTTCGTCATGGCGTGGTGCTGGCATCCGAACTTCATTGAGGAAGAAAAGATTATCTTCATCCCGGAGCCGCGGGTGGCGGGGTCGCGGAGGACGAGCGCACGGTGGATCCGGGGCTGCGATACCTTGTGCGCACACGGGTCATCGCGTACCAGGACTGGAGCACGCCCCCGGGAACACCTGACGATCTGGGCGGCGACAACGGCCATGGCAACGACGACGATGACGGCCATGGCGGTCACCATGGCGACAACAATGGCGGCGCTCGCGACGGGTTCGACGAGCCGTCGCACCCGCATGATGACATCGGCTATCCATATGCCGACGACGACGGCTCCACGGAATCCAACCACAACCGCGGTCACCCGGGCCAGGACTACCGGCGGCGAGGTCCTCCGGCGAATTCCGTACGTGTGGGCCAAGTCCTCTGCCCCCTGACACGTGGAAGGATGGGTCACGCCCGGACTGGGGGTGGCCGCGAGATCCCGGACAACTTGTCAGAGCGGTGCGCTGACCTTCGTCCGTGGGCCAACCTACGATCGCTAACACCGTTGGGGAATCGTCAAGTCGCTGTTGTTGAGCCTTGCCCCCTCTTGGGACATGAGCGCACGCCTGCTAGCTAGTCAAGGTGGCCAACGATGTCTGCGCCAGGCACGCCCAAGATCTCTCCTGTCCGTGTATCCTGCCGGGCCAAACTCATCGCTTCTGCTGACCTTGCAGTCTTTTGGGACAACGACGTGCACCGGTCAGGGGAGGTGGGGCGCTTCCTGGACATCACGCCCCTTCTACTACATGCCGGCTGTAGCTTACAGCAGGCAACAGGTGAGGCCCATACCTTAAGTTGGGCCAATGAGGCCGAGGAAGGGCCCAAGCATTCGTCTGCGGGCCAAGCTACTCTGGATTGGTGGGCCGCCCTAATCGATACAGAGCTGGCTGGGCCGGCCATACGGGCAGACAACAGTAACATGGCCCAGGTCACTCTGGCCTTGCACGAACCGGTGTACGACGTCGCGGCGCCTCGGCTCGATGAGATGAACGCCGATGATGACCAGTCCCACGCATGCATGCCTGTGCACGGTGATGATGCGCCTCAGCTTCGCGCAACGACCGGTGTACGGCCGTCGCCCGACCTTGCCAATGATGGGCCGGCGGCCCAGCCAGCCACTACAGAGGAAGTCACGGCACTTACACAAGTGGCGGCGCCTACGGCGGCATCCGTGACGGCCTTCGTCGACTCTCTCCGTCTGCCTGTGCTGGAACCGATCATCCAGGACACTCCGCGCGCCTACGTGCCAAGACGACACGACGATGACTGGCTCCCGTGGCGGAGCACTCGTCTCGCGGCCAAACATGCCTTCCGCGACCCGAACCCTGAGAGACAGGCGAAGCGGGTGCTGCTAAATAAATGGAATGGCCGCCCGATGCCAGCCAACACGACGCCGGACGCGACTGTCGACACCGACTTCCATCAGGCGTTCACGGAACTTGCCCCATCCGCCAGAAGGAGCGCGATGAGGGTGTTGTTCCCGCTGCATGGCAACGCCGGGGAGTACTCGCCGCCGACGCAGTAATGTTCGCCGGCACGCAGGTCGCCAAACTAGTAACGATATGAGTAACAACCATCTTCTTGTGTGGAACGTGCGGGGCCTGAACTATAGGGCGCGTCGCACTGCTGTATGTGATGTAGTAGCACAACAGCGTGCTTCTGTTGTTTGCCTGCAAGAATCCAAGATTGCGGCGTATGAGGCAAGCTTGAACAATGAAACTGTAGGCCAAGGCTTGACTACTCCTTTCTCCCTGCTACTGGCGTGACCGGTGGCGCTAGTTGTTGCGTGGCGTCGCGATCTTTGGGATGCGTCTGATATAGGCGTCCGGCGATTCTCGGTCACGATCCGTCTCAAGCCGTTGCACAGTATGGGCGAACCGTGGTGGCTATCATCAGGGTTCAGAAAGGGATTTGATTCTTTGGTGCTGCTTGTCTCATGGGAGACTTGGAAGGAGCGGAATCGGAGGACCTTCGGTGGAGCACCTTCATCAGTTGCACAGGTGATGCAAGGGATACAACAGGAGGGAGCCGAGTGGGTCAGCGCGGGAATCCGTTCGCTTGCACCGCTGTTCGCACCATAGGGGTTTAACCTAGCTATATATCTGCTTGTCGCAAAAGAAAGTTTACTTAGTTAGTACAAAGTAGTGGTAGCACCGTTCAAGTAGTGGTAGCACCGTTCAAGCCGGTGATTTGTGTTGTGTGTTCCTCGCACAAAACGCGGCACCTCGTCGTCGTTGGGTCGAGATGTACTAAAACATCTATCTTCCCTTAATTAAGCACGTGCATAGCACGATTTTGAAAAAAAGCTGCACTTCAGTGGCGATTTTACATACATAACCCTGTCCGTGATTGCCCTGCTTGGATTGGATAGAGACTCACAGCTAGCATGTCAATCTTCGGAAGCCTTGGCGAACAACGGCAGAAGCCCGCCCGCACCCATTTCCATCCTCACGAACTCGATCCCCTGCTCGTTGAGAA